CACACCCACGTATATAAACACAAACACAGGAGACAGACACTCACACATAAACACACATTCTCTTTCTCTCTCACACACACACACACAGGAGACAAGAGTCTCTCTCTCTCACACTCACACACACACAGACACACTCTCACACACACAGGAGACAGAGTCTCTCTCTCACACTCACACACACACTCTCTCTCACACACAGGAGACAAGAGTCTCTCTCTCTCACACTCACACACACACAGACACACTCTCACACACACAGGAGACAGAGTCTCTCTCTCACACTCACACACACACTCTCTCTCACACACAGGAGACAAGAGTCTCTCTCTCTCACACTCACACACACACAGACACACTCTCACACACACAGGAGACAGAGTCTCTCTCTCACACTCACACACACACTCTCTCTCACACACAGGAGACAAGAGTCTCTCTCACACACACAGGAGACAAGAGTCTCTCTCTCTCACACTCACACACACACACAGGAGACAGAGTCTCTCTCACACTCACACTCTCTCTCTCTCTCTCTCACACACACACACACACAGGAGACAGAGTCTCTCTCTCTCACACACTCACTCTCTCTCACACACACAGACACACTCTCTCACACACACAGTAGACAGTCTCTCTCTCTCACACACACACACACACACACACACACACACACAGGAGACAGAGTCTCTCTCACTCACACACACACACAGACACACTCTCTCACACACACAGGAGACAGAGTCTCTCTCTCACACACTCACACAGGAGGCAGGAGCTAATTTGAACTGCTTTATTTACACAGAAGCCAGTGTAACTCCACTAAGATCAGAAGTGATCCGGCAGGCATCGCTGGAGGTCTGGTTCTGTTTCAGAATCGTGATCGCTGGCGGTAAGCGCCGGAGTTCCGGTCATGGCGGCGCTCAGGTAAGCGATGCTCGTGCTGCCGGTGCTCCGGAGCTCTACCGGGAAACACACACGTTCACCCAGCAGCAGTCACACACCTCTCTCTATGCATTGATGATGTATCGATGACGCACTCGCCGCCGGTCTCTGCGCGCTCTCCATTCCTCGAGCACGGGCGGCGCGTCCGGTACCGCTGGAGCTCCGCGGAGAAACGCGACGCGAACTGAGCGTCATAGTCAGCGGCGCAAGACATGGCGCTCGTGACGGAAACAGGTGCCTAGAGGTTTTGCAGAGCGTCTCCGTGTGAGTGACAAACAACAGCGTTTAAACTGATTACAGCGAAACCACCGCGACGCGACGCGTGACGTGCAGCTCTTATTTCACTCCGTCGCGGTTTTACCGAAGGTTCCGGCAAACTGAGTTCCTCTTCCGTTCACACGCTTCGCAATCCACGCATTTTTATACACCTTATATCATTGTGTGAGTTTCTCATTGCGAAGTTTTTTTTTTTTTTTTTTTTTGTTTTTTTTTTTTAACCCCCCTATACATCAATTACATTCACCTATATTCACCTATGGCCTATGTTGTAGCTCCAAGATTGCGACAGAGGGACCGGGGTCTGTGTACGTTTTTATAGTTTGTTTTTTAATTTGAAATGAAATAAGCATAAACTAGAATTTTTTTTTTTTTTTTTTTCGTTTTTTATTGTCCACTTACACCAAAAGTATTTTGCATGTCATTTGTGTGTTTTTCACTGACCAGCGGCTTTTGTTTTACGGCTGGTTGCTGGTTTAATTAATAATGTAGAGGATTTGGATCAGTTGCAGCTCTGGAGCCACGGAACGGTTGGGATTCTGCAGAAATGTGAGTACGGTAAACTTTATTATGACTAGAAGACAAAACTAACCGCAGTTTATCACTTTGTCCCGTTATCTACGAGTGAATGTATAGATCAGGCTGGATAAAAAGCGACGACGCGCTGTTTCTGTGTGTGTGTGTGTGTGTGTGTGTGTGTGAGAGAGAGAGAGAGAGAGTGTATCTACACTCTACATACCCAAATTGACAAAGAAACCAAAGTGAGTCAGTGAGTGTGTGTGTGTATGTGTGTGTGTGTGTGTGTGTGTGTGTGAGAGAGAGAGAGAGAGAGTGTATCTACACTCTACATACCCAAATTGACAAAGAAACCAAACAAAATAAAATACAAATCTTTTCATGCTTTGTTGACTTCAGAAAAGCTTTTGACTCCATCTGGCATGAGGGGCTTTTACTTCAATTAATCCAATGCGGCATCGGAGGAAAAACATACGACATCATAAGGCGAGGTACGTCAAGTCCTGCCATGATAAAAGGACGAGGAGTAGAACAGAACCACAAGTCACAGCCGGAAGAAAACACTGTACAACACACATAAACTGACATGACAGGATCCAGTCCTTCTCCTGTCTCTTTATTAGTACTTTCATTTTACTGTATACAGATATATAGACTATATATGCTATATACTTCTACTCTTATGTATATTTGTGTTAAATGTCTATTTAAATGTTTCTATGCTTTGGCAATGTAAATATACTTTTTTACCATGCCAATAAAGCTTCTTGAATCTTGAGAGAGAGAGAGAGAGAGAGAGAAAGAGAGCTAAAATGTAACTCACTCGATATTAACTTCATGTTGTTTGAACTGTTGTATAAGTTAATATCACATTTGTGATCACACTCGTGCTAATATTCAGGAAAACAGCACTCTTGCTTGTGTGATATTACTCAACTATATCATATCTTATAAGAAACAAAAACCCATGGAGATTTTTGTTTTCATAACTTGAATTATAAATGCATTCGAACTATATTCTAACAGGCTTCATCAGGCAGTGAATGCTTTTGGACTCTAAAGACGCGTTTTTGTTTGTTTATTACAAAGCAAGTGACTTTCTTGATAACGTCAGCTCGCATATCGTTAAACCAACATATCGTTTATCACAGATGATAAATATTGCATACCCCTAATATTGAGTGCATTAAGGGGGGGTGAAGGACTACAGCAGCTGTACAGTAAAGATGATGAGCACCAGAAGGGTCCGGAAATGCTTTGTCCCGTAGCCCAAAATTCAATGTCAATGTCAGCATTTGGCTGCAAGGGAAACCCAATATGCCAGTGCACATGCATGCATTACCACAATGACTCTGTGTGTGTGTGTGTGTGTGTGTGTGTGTGTGTGTGTGTGTGTGTGTGTGGGCTGATCCGCGGCGCGGCGCTGACTCGCTCAGTTTGGATTCATGATCATCTGCTGCGGACTGAACTCCACACTGACGCGTTTCTCTGTTCCAGTCTGGAAATATTGATAAAGATCCGCCAGCGCGAGCTGAAGTTAGTTTGTCGCGGGAATATTCCTCGCTGGAACTGATGCGGGAGATTTCTGAGTCTCTGTAACTAAAGACGCGTCACGGATCCGACAGAGAGCAGCGCGATGGGGTAAGACGAGGCGCTTCTTCGGCTGTCATTGCGACAGAACTCTTGCAGATTTGTTTCTGGATGAGAAATGACTGGTCAAAGGTTGAAGGATGGTTCGGTTTGTTACGCGACTGACTCAGAACCGAATCAGATCGAGTTGACGGGAAACGTGTGTGAATTCCGCGCACGTCAATCGTTTGAATTCTCTTTGAAAAGTGAATTAATTCGGCTTCTGCGCTCGGCGGCTTTGCTTCATTCGCTGAATTGCGCGTCAGAAGTGGGTTTAGTGTTTGAACAGCAGCTGATTTTTAGCTTGTGTTCAGCAGCTCCCGCGCGCGCTCCCGGAGAAACCTTCCCGTGATCTGAGCGAAGCATCAAAGATCAAGCTTCAGCAAACACACATATAACACAGATATAATGAAAAGAGAGGAGTGGGCTGTTAATGCGAGTGTGGGCCGAGGCGAGTGTGTGTGTGTGTGTGTGTGAGAGAGAGAGAGAGTGTGTGTGTGTGTGTGTGTGTGTGTGTGTGAGAGAGAGAG